CCTCAACCCTGACAACTTGGACAACTTTCGACCCATCTCCAACCTCCCGTTACTGTCAAAAATCCTGGAACGCGCCGTCATCAACCAACTCCACCAACATCTCCACTCCTCCCATCTCTTCGAAACATTTCAATCTGGATTCCGTTCACACCACAGCACAGAAACGGCACTTCTCAAAGTTACTAACGACCTCCTCCTCGCTGCCGACTCTGGTTCCTTATCCATCCTCCTTCTCCTCGATCTCTCCGCTGCATTTGACACAATAGACCATTCCATCCTCCTCCACCGTCTACAATCCATTGGCATTTCTGGCACAGCACTCCTCTGGTTCACCTCTTACCTCTCCAATCGTCTCCACTTGGTGTCTGTCAACAATTGCAAGTCCCACATTTCCCCCGTCACCCATGGTGTCCCCCAAGGTTCCGTGCTCGGCCCTCTCCTCTTCACCATCTACATGCTTCCCCTCGGTCAGATCATCCGCCATCATGGACTCCATTTCCACTGTTATGCCGACGACACGCAACTCTACATCTCCACCAAATCCATCACCCCGGTCATTCGCTCCACTATCGAAAATTGCATCTCCGACATTAAAACCTGGATGGACAATAACCTTCTCAACAGTAACAAAACAAAACTCCTCATCATCAGCCCCAAAACTCTCCTGCCCCCTGTCCAGAACTTCACCCTCCTCATTGACGGTCACATTGTCACCCCCTCATCCTCTGTACGCAACCTTGGCATCATATTGGACTCCACCCTCTCATACCAAACCCACATCAAACACATCACCAAAACCTCCTTCTTCCACCTCCGCAACATTGCCCACCTCCGCCCCTCCCTTACCCAGTCAACAGCCGAAATCCTCATCCATGCATTTATCACCTCCAAACTCGACTACTGCAACAGCCTCCTCTACGGACTTCCCACCACTCATCTCCAAAAACTGCAATACATCCAGAACTCTGCAGCCCGCCTCCTCACCCACACCCGGTCCAGACAACACATCACCCCTGTCCTCCAGCAGCTCCACTGGCTCCCCGTTCAATACTGCATCCATTACAAGCTCCTCCTCCTCACCTACAAGTCCCTCCATAACCTGGCCCCCCCTACCTTACTGAGCTCCTACAGCAGCACCAACCCACCCGCCGCCTTCGCTCAGCCAATTCCAACCTCCTCACCCCCATCACCCGCACTAACCGCCGAACCTTGGGGGACAGGGCTTTTGCAATTGCCGCCCCAACCCTCTGGAACTCACTCCCACTGCCCATTAGAAACTCTGACTCACTATCAAACTTTAAATCAGTACTCAAAACCCATCTTTTCAAACAAGCTTTTCCGTAAACCCCTTTTTATTATTGTATTCGACTCCCCATGTGAAGCGTCTTTGAGTCTCCAAAAAAGCGCTATACAAGTTTGATGTATTATTATTATTATTATTAAGCTGTACGCTGCATAGAGTTGGGCTTTATGGCAGAGTGGCCAGAAGAAAGCCATTACTTTCAGCAAAAAACAAAATGGCACGTTTTGAGTTTGCAAAAAAGCATGTGGGAGACTCCCAAAATGTTTGGAAGAAGGTGCTCTGGTATGATGAGACAAAAATTGAACTTTTCGGCCATCAAGGAAAACGCTATGTCTGGCGCAAACCCAACACATCACATCACCCAAAGAACACCATCCCCACAGTGAAACATGGTGGTGGCAGCATCATGCTGTGGGGATGTTTTTCAGCAGCTGGGACTGGGAAACTGGTCAGAGTTGAGGGAAAGATGGATGGTGCTAAATACAGGGATATTCTTTAGCAAAACCTGTACCACTCTGTGTGTGATTTGAGGCTAGGACGGAGGTTCACCTTCCAGCAGGACGATGACCCCAAACACACTGCTAAAGCAGCACTTCAGTGGTTTAAGGGGAAACATGTAAATGTGTTGGAATGGCCTAGTCAAAGCCCAGACCTCAATCCAATAGAAAATCTGTGGTCAGACTTAAAGATTGCTGTTCACAAGGCACTGAAAAATCGATAATCAGGTTTTAGTCAGAGCAGGACAATGATAAACAAAACCTCTTGTCTCCGGAGCTACATTATAGCTGAAGGTGAAAAAAGTAAATTGTACACCTGTTGTATGCCCCCATCTTATGTAGTCTCTCATCGCTCTAATGCACGGCATCCTGGGTAACTGCAAACACCCTCTGCATGACACCATAGCCGCTCAGAGGGGTAATCGTAGCAACAGGCTCCTATCACTACGCTGCTGAATGGAACGTTTCAAGAGATCCTTTGTTCCTTCGGCTGTCAGACTGTACAACAAACCTGGATGAGTCTTCTGCTGTTGGACACCTGAATTTCTCCTACTGGGGATCAATAAAGTATCCATCTTTCTGCGTGAGGTTTGCATGTTCTCCCCGTGTCTGCGTAGGTTTCCTCCGGGTGCTCCGGTTTCCCCTACCACTAAAAATATGCTCACTAGGTAAAGATCCTTCAGCTCCGGTAGTCCTGACCAAGCCGAGCATTAAGATCGGGAGATGGGTTCCCGGGTGCTGTACTACGACGACCACGTAAGCCTTAGTGGCATCAGGATGGGTCAAATACAGAGAACAAATTTCCCTACGTGGACAATAAAGTGCACATTTACATTTACATCTATCTATCCAGTTTTACGTTTTATTTTGAATGCGCTGGAAAACGGCTGCAAGTCCTAAGTAGCTATGAAACAGTTGTTGTTTTGTGCTTTACTTTTTTTTTTTCAACCTGAGATGTTGCTGCAGTACAGTGTTCATGGTTTAACACTGGTCCAGTCCAGAGCAGAGAGGATTCATGGTCTGAACCAAGCAGATCAGGTAAAAATCCACTGGAGGAATGCTAACTTTTTGAAAAATGCTAATGAAGCATTTGGCGAGAATAATGGTCCGAACCTAGCGGCTGTACTCCATCTTGTGACCTGTCCTGCTCCACCCAGAGGCTACTCCACCTCTGCTACTGTGACCCATCCTGCTCCACCCAGAGGCTACTCCACATCTGCTGCTGTGACCCATCCTGCTCCACCCAGCGGCTACTCTACTGTATCAACAGATGAGAGGGAAAAAATTGAATGCGACATTGCCGTTTCGTCACCATTTTTTTTTACCTGTCCTGACTTGAACGGCTGAAACATGTTCAGTCAATTTCCCATGCAACCATTTTCTTCCCCTTATTCCATTTCTGGGTTGAGGGGTGGCAGTCAGAGTTGCATTCACAGAGCACCACCCGCTGATCCTCCTGCAAGTGTTGAGTCCACAGGAGGATGGCTGCTCTAGTCTGAGCTGCCCCAATCTTTCAGGCAAAGTGGGTCTTGTGTCTTGCAAGGACACAAGGGCAGCATACATCAGTGCTCCCACTGATGTAAAGTAAGTCTTGTGGCCCAAAGGCTCTTCCAACTGAGCCACAATTTCCCTTAATTGGTATATCAGTTAAACCAGTCAGCCATTGACAATTAGAAATTATTTTGGAATAAATTAGTCTTTCCACTTTACCAGTCCGAAACTAATGTATGAAACTCATTACACACAAAGTGACTTATATCAAGTTTTATTTGTTGTAAGGTCGACAATTAATATCACAGCAATAAAACATCTCAGAAAATAAGATGATTTTGAAAATGGACTGTAAGCCATAATTGTCATAATCAATCAAAAAATATTACAAATAAAGGCTTGACATATGTCATTTTGCATGTAATGAGTCTAAATTGTATATTCGTTTCACATTTTTTATGAATAACAGAATTAACTTTTGAACAATATTCAATTTTTGAGTTTCAGTTTATGAATATCTGTTGGCTCTTGATGAAACATACCTGAAAAACAGAAATTTTGCACAGATAGAGAATTTATGATCCTTTTAGTGCATCTTCGTCGTAAATATCTTTGGGTCTTTATTCAAGCTGCTATACCTTACTATAAAACCTCAAAAAGTTACATTGATTTTATTAGTAGTAATAAAATCCATGTAGTTCCTCACTCTCAAAACAGATCAGCTCTCAGTATACAAAAAATGGAATGGTCTTGTTACTTAAACACAACTATTTCTGTTGGAACAAAATACAATGTATCTATGAAACAAACACAACAATAAGCTTGTATTGAGAATCATTTAAGTGCCTCATATTTTCAGTTTTGTAGTGGGAGTGACTTTGGTGTGATGTGGAGTGTCAGACATGGGCAGGTTTTACAGGTCGGATAACATGTGCTGCGTGTGTTTGCAGCTCACACAAGGGATCTAACAACGCTGCCTCTTTGGATTTTGAGTGCTCTGCTTTGAGCTGTCCTTCTATTTTCCACAACAGAGTTGCCTTATTCACAATGAGAGGACACGGCTACGGAAAAAAACTCAAAACTAAAGTTGGAGCGTGTAGTGACGCGGTGTACTGTGCGTCACTTGAACCCCAGAAAGATGTGCCTGTTTGTGGCGTCGCTACCAAGAATTTATCCCGGGGGAAAAGACCAAGAGGTAGATGAGTATTTACTGTTAAACTTCATATTTTTCCTTATTCTAAAACTTGGATACCTAACTTTCAAAGCACTAGAATTAAACTGTGTAATACAATCCGTGTCGCTAGTTTGGTTCCATTATTAGTTTTCTCCTGCATGTTTTCTTCTGTAGCTCAGACAGAAAAGCTCTCAGCCCAAAGCATCAAATATCGACTCCCAGGGATCTTTCTCACAAGAATCTGAAAGATAACATGTTTTCTAATGAGACAAACTCAAGTTTCCACAGTAGATGGTCATTTTATTCTTTTTTACCTGACCATTTCTGTTGGACAAACAATATATTATTTATGGGAAAAGGTACCCCAGCTTTAACTTCTAAACTTTATAGACAAACTTGAAATTACATAACTACTATAACTACTGTTACTGCCGAATATTAGAAGCTTTGATATTTTCTAGGTCCCAAAAGGGGTGGATTCTCCAGTGATGGAAAGGTCTACATTGGTGTCCGTGTGAAAATGACAGTGAGAGATATGCTAAAAAATGTCAGAGTGGCCCAAGGGTGGGGACCTGAGGAGCTTCAGGTTTGTTTGATTTACACGTCACGCTTCCAGCACCATTCACATTCACACTGATATCTATAGCTTTAGTATTCAATAAGGATCAGGCTAGCATACATTTTGACATATATATACTGTATATATTGACACGTTATAATTGTTTCAACAATCACCAAATATGTCTTGTTCTTTTTTCATGGCAGGTTGCATTCAATAAGAAAGGTTAGTAAAACATATAATCAACAATGATATAATGATATGTATTGTTGAAGATGTGTTGCATACGTTGTAATTAGTGTAAACATCACTGATGCCATCATATTTTTTTCCCATAGAAGAAAGAGTGAAATCTCGTTCAAGCTCAAGAGTCAAGGTTAGCATAAATCCAACATGTGCTGTCAAAGGATTATATGTAGGTTTGAAATGACATTTCTGCCATCTGGGCTTTTCAGAGACGAAGTCCACCAAAAAGCCTGGAAGAACTGGCGATTATAGTGGAGGTTTTGGAGGAAGATCTTAAAACTCCACATACCATAGGTTCATCTCATACCAGAATTACTGTGTTGGAGCCGCCAGCCTTTCCAGTGCACTCACCAGCTCTGACAGGTACTAACATGTTTTAGCAATTATGAATGGACTATTTTTCTGACTCAAAATGTTCCTCTTATGTTTCAGGATATAACAGTGATGGTTCAGGGGACATGATTCCGGGCCCAGAGCCTAACATAAGCCACTCCCCTTGGACAGAGTACCAGCCACTGTCTCCGGACCACATGTCAATCTGTGGAGATTTTACTGAGGAGCAGCACTCCCCTTCGAGCTGGAGCTTGGACAGCTCTGCTTTATTCTGGACGCAGCTCCAGAAAGAGGACATAGCACTCAACGACATCAGTGACACAGAGCTCCTGGATACCGATGCACAAGGCAGAAAGTATAATTATTATCATGAATATATAGATAGTAATTAGGATGTCTCTAAACTTGTGTCCATTCTAGCCTGCTTCATAATGTAGTGTGTGTTGGGAAGAGGCCTCTAGCCTATGCTGTCGCTAAGAGGATGGCTGCCATCAACAGCCTGGACCTCAAAGACTCCAATGGAATGGTACAAACACACAGAGTTAGGGGTGGGAACCTCAGGGTACCTCACGATACAATACGCAATATAAAGCTCACGACGTGAAATAATCGTTTCACGTCATATTGTAAAACGAGTATTTCACGATATGACGATGCAGCGATTATCGATATATTTATCAAAATATACCTACGATAATATTTTTCTTATATTTATAGCATAAATTAAGTGAAAAAATACACTTCATTTCAAGATAAATGGATAAAGTGTCATTAAAGTACAAAACAAGCAAAAATGCCTTTTACCCTGCACATTTTAGTAAAATTCTTACTTAATCTGTCTCACATCCAATAAAATCAATATGAACATTCTACAGAAATTGTATAATGCGTAATGTAGCCTTATATTAAGTATCAATACTTTTTCAAGTGAAGCTTAAATAAATATATATATATTATTATTTCTTTTTTTAAATTGATACTTAGCAAAAGCATATCGACAATCAACTGCATGAGAAAGTATCACGATACATCACCATATCGATATATTGTCACACCTCTACACACAGTAATATTTAGTCATTATTTTTACTCAATGTCTTTTTTTGTCCAGACTGCTCTTCATTATGCTGCAATGAACAACCACCACCTGATGGTATGTGACCTGATCCACCTGGGAGCCAGCATCAATGAAAGGAACAATACGGGCAAGTCCTGCCTCCATCTCAGTGCAGAGAAAGGCTACACCCAGGTTCTAGAGGTCAGTTTTCAGGTGGATGGTCTGCTGCCTGTTTGTATTTTTGTTGATGCATTGACTACAATGCCAGATCTGTAGAGTGGAAAGCTAAGAATGCATGCTTTTTATTAATACTATTAGATAATATAGGTTTATTTCAGCCAAAATCTCCATAATACATGCAGAGCCTCCTCTGAAAAAGTATAATTTTCTTCTTTATAGGTTTTAAAGCTACTGATGATAGATGGATACTTTGTTGATGTGGAAGCCACGGACAACTCTGGTCTGTGAAAGCACTTCCATTTTTGATATATATATATATATATCTCTTTTATAATCTTTTTTAATTTTTTGTTCTTGTTGTTGTATATAATATATAATATATGTTTTTTGCCTATTTGCAGGAATGAGTGTGTTGCAGTGTGCTGCTGTGGCTCTGAAGGCCACAGTGTGTGAGGAGGAGAGTTGTTCCAGACTCAACAGTTTGTGTAAAGAGCAGATGCTGGAGACACTGGAGATTCTGCTACAGATGGGCAGTTACCTGCACTCCATGGTTTGTACCAAAGCTTCAGAAAACAAACGGCTTTAGTTTGCGGTTCGGCTTATGAGAAGGATGTAGTGGATTAGTGCAGGAGTCAGTGTGATTGGTTAATGTCATGTTCACAAAAACAAGAATCCAGTTAGGTTAGCTACACATTATTAGATGTGACTTGAGATATGAGTGTGTCTTTCTGAGGAACGTGATCTTTCTAGTTTATTGTCATGTTTGATTCATCAGTTTAATTAGTTTTAATTCAACTCAAATGTCTAAAATTGCATATAAAATCTTCTTTTTGTGTTCACAGGGGTGTTGTGGAATCCCTCACAGCTCCTAAATGCCTGGCAGGGCTTTTTTTTTGCGACCCGACAGTAATGTTCCGTGTGTATTCAGCCTGACGAGAGCAGAGCCCATGTTATGGGACTCTCCTCATTGTTTAGTCAGAGCTGAACAGTAAAGCATCTGATGCTTTGTGTTTGGTAACAATATCGGACTTGCAACCTGATGTTGTGTTCAGCCTGCACAAAAGCTTCAGGTGCCCAGTACCTGGTTTCTATGAAACTTCCCTAGTTTGTTACATTGGAGTAACAACATATTCTTGTGAAGATCCACTGTACAGTTTCTGAAAGTCTTTTAGTTGTTTACAAAATCTTGAATATCATTTCATTCAATTCCATTCCAGCATTCCATTTTGTACAAAGGTACAACATGGTTCTAACATTACCACTGTTATGATACTATAGCATGCTTGACAAAAACTGTAACTGAATTTAAAAAAAATTACAAATAATATATTTTCAATATTTTAAACTAAATCTCACTTAGTTTACATTAACATTCTGATTACAGTCTTCAAATTTTTTAGTGCTGACTTAAAGATATGTACAAGTGGATCTTTGAGAATGTATCTTAGTTGTATATACATATATAAGTGATGGGCTATGGTTATTTTACTTAAAGTAAAACAAAGTATGTGGCTATTGACGGTAACCTAGTGGCATACATGGTTTATTATATTAGATTGTTTATTGTATTGGGAATTTATTATTCTACCAAAAGTAAAGTTTGTTATTTTTTGTATATCCACGTTTTGAGTGACACATAGTGGAGTCACAGTAAGGCAAGGCAAGTTTATTTGTATAGCACAATTCATACACAAGGCAACTCAAAGTGCTGAACAAGATAGCATTAAAATCATAAATAATCACAGAACATTAAAAAGAAAGATAAAAACATAAAATCCCTCAGTTGTATGCACAGCTAAACAGCACCATTTTTAACCTGGTTTTAAACATTGTCAGAGAGGAGGCCTGTCTCACATCTTCAGGAAGATTGTTCCAGATTTTAGCAGCATGAATCTGAAAAGCAGCCTCCCCATGTTTAGTTCTGACTCTGGGCACTAACAGGAGTCCAGTCCCTGTGCTCCTCAGAGTCCGGGCTGGTTCATACAGTGAACAGTCACTCCACTATGAGCACCAGTTCCATGCTTTTTGTCTCTGAGGCCTTGTGGCACAAATGTAATTTACTATGATCTTTTGCTTGTTCCAATAAATGTAAACATTCCTCTAAAAGTTAATAAACACCTTATTACATTCTATGAGTCTGTTCCTAATAATGTGAGGTCGACTAAGCTGATGCAAATAATTATTATACAAAGATAAATGCCCTTAATATGTCATGAAGATTCTCATGATCTCATTCAAATCTAAGGAACTATATTTTGATTGAAATGTGCTGATGTTAATCTTGAGCTAGATATTCCATATGTGAAAAGTCTAAATCTTAATCTTTAGAGAAAGCTCCCTCAAAGTTTAACCAGTTTAGATGAAGCCGTAACTTCATTAACCTTTAATTTTGTATCCCAATCCTCAATCTGTTTATTAATAAGCAAATCAGTTGTAAAATGTGTTCCATACCTAGATGTAAGAGTGGTATACAGTTAATTCAAAACAACCAAAATAATTCAAAACACCCGGAGATCTTTCAAAATTTTTTAAAAACTGCTACAAAGTTGTGTTTCAAATTCTCCAAAAGTGACTGGTATAATTACTCTCTATCACGTATTTTTGATTGGTGTAATACAGGTAGAGTTTATTTTGTTGTGTGTACGCTTTCATCTTCACCCCATGACGGCCCGCCACCGCTCCCCCGACCTGACCCCCGTGGCCTTGCGCTGCCTGCATAAGTGCGCTCATAATGAATTTAAAGCCGTCTTGCTGGCACGCCCGGCATCCAACAGAGCTCCAGGCCATTGTGCAACACCCAGCGCCTGCTCCACCACTGGATGCTCCAACTGTAGCCCTGTTGCATCACATCCCTCTACCCCCATACCCCCACCATTATGCAGTGCAGCCTTCTCCTTGTTTTTTGCCAGGAGCTCTGCATAAGACCTTGAATCAAGAGAATGAAGACTAGAGCAAAACTGACCACTAGTAGAAGGTATAGTGCAGCCATCCAACAGTAATCTTTATTGGATTATTGAAAAAGTTCACCAAAACTGTACAGGTTAGACATTAGAGAAGAGTACATTAGGAGAAATTATTATGTACCTATGTACTTTGAACAAGAAGTGCAAGTTTGTTTTGACGCTTCTTAAATAGTGCAGTTGCCGTATCTCAAGTTTGGTAGGCTAAAGAGAAGTTTCTTATCTTCACTCAGTAATATGTCCTTGCCTTTCATTTTAATTGGCTTGAATATTTTGCAGTTTGTTAAATTTGGCATTCCAAACACCAATTATTTTGTTTAAAAAAATCTTATTTGAAATCATTATTCTATGTCCTATTGAGTGGCTTTCTCAAACAGGCTAATGTGGCCACAATTACCTGTGCGTTCCTGAAGAACGCACAGGTAATTGTGGCCACATTACCTTAAACTATAGTTTTATTTCTTAGAGAGCCTTCTTAGAGCCCTGGAATATTTCCACATCTAATGTTAAATTATCCTGTCAACCTTTTTTATTTATGACTGTGCTCGGTATTTATATGTGTTTGTGAGCAACTGCAAGTCGTCACACGTCAGGCCTCTCATCACGAGCTCCACTCATCCAGAACTGGTTTAGCCAGATGTTATCTGTTTAGCAGCAGTGTTGCCTATTGTCAGTGTCTCCAATACTCTATATTTCATTGTTCAGTAAAAACATCACAGTTTTCAGATCAAGGAATTTCACCTTTTTTGTCTTATGACAAGAACCAAGAAGATTTATTACTGCAAGAACATATATTTCTGCATATGAATATTCTGTCTCTTAAACTCTTTGTATCTAAAATGATGAAATGATCAGGGCAACTGTTGTAAACTTTTGTAGTAGTTCATGTAACATCAAACCTCTTGGCTGTTTGTCTCTTGTGAGATTGGAGGGACATCTGGTGGCAGGTCAGGTGTAAGTTATTTTGTTTATTGTTTTTTTCTATTAATATTGATTTTGCTTGGATTATTTAAACAATATGTTTTACTCTGCGTTTTGAGAATACATAAATTAACTAATGAGCTGAAGTACAAGCTGTGCTGTATAAAGCTCTTTATTCTAAGATCGCACAAAAAGCTGAACAAACAAACCAGTACAAAATGTTTTGTATTTTTCAAAACCAACCACTGTATTTGTGGTCAATAGATATACTTTTGTCTGATTAACAGTTGAACTGTAATATTAAACAACCTTGTGTATATTTTTTTGTGTGATTGTGTAATCAAACTTGTAATCTTTTGAAAACAAAGATTGTAGTCAACATGGTTGTGTCTTCATCTCCTTGTAAAGATTCAAGATCTATGTTCGATTGTATTGTAAGAAATAATGAACAGATAAGAATACAAATTGAAGAAAATGATTTATTATACAGTTGGTAACATCAAGTTACACCGGACCCTGTGATGGCAGAACAGATTACAGTGGACCTGAATCAAGCAAAAAGTAAACAAAAGTAAGAACAAATCGATACTTGTAATGGCCTTTTCTGTCAACCTCGTACTATTTTATTCTGATAGTTCGCTCGTATCTCTCCTCCCTCTGCAAGGATTGTGTGATATTGCCTCATGCGCTTGAAAGGCCTTAAGACTGCGAGCAGAGATACCATGAGATTTCACACAGTCAAACACACGCCCAGAGCAGGCTGGGGGTTGAGATAGGCAACCAGCCCGTGTTTGTGTTGATTGTTGAAGGAGCTTGATGCACCCGGCTGCACCCTGGGGATCTATCAACAGCAAATCACCCAAAGTTCCCAAATAAACAGAGTAAATTAGTGTTTTCTTCCTTGTTCAACCCTACGACACTGCTTCGATGTGACACTGAAGCGGTTGTTTTGGAGCTCAGATGTCAATCATAGTTTTCCCTTCATGTGTTACCGCCCAGGAGTCAGGACCCTGTGACAGCACTTGTTTGAGACTGCATTGCAGCCAAAAATAAGGGCCGGACTGGTTCAATTTGGGGGTAGGAGTAGATTTTGTGGGAGGGACAAAGGAGCATATCATAGTTTATGTAATCAAGAGCGCAAAGCGTGAATTAATAAAAACATGCAGTGAAAAACAGTCCCAAGACAGTAAATGTTAATGACAGTGATTTATTTGGCTGCAATCTACTGGTGATTAAAATCTCTCAACAACAATTCTCAAACTAAAATAACCTGAACTTTGACAAATGTAACAAGAATAAACGAATTTCCAAAAGGACGTACCAAATAATGGTTTATTGTTGCGTCAATAGGTGATTGTTTGTTCGCAAATACAGCCAATAAGCAACATGAGTGGGGAGAGGAAAAAGAAAACAGCCAGTGGACGTTTGAAAAGACGTTTGAAAACTTAACCTGAGCATGGCTCACACTGGCAGGACGGCACAGGACAGAGTCCTCAGCCAATGAGAAGGGACAAACTTTGAAGCCATGCATTAAACAAAATATTGCTTTGAAATAACACTCACACATGCTTTTCCAAAATTAAACATGCACTGCAGTGGACTAAAGAAGTTTAAATACATTTTTGCAATACAAACTTGAAAATGTCTTTGATAATGAATATCTGAAGAGCATGTCACACACATTTCCAGCAATCCCTTTATTTTGTGGATTGTTTAAAGCAAGTGATAAATGAACATTAATATTTTGATAAGCAAAAATAAAATATAAAATAAAATATATATTTAATATGGTTCTGATGCTGCCCATGTGTGTCACAAAAACCACAAGCAAATTCAACACTACTACTATTTCAAAGAGTGTGTGTTTGTAAACGATCATCGCAAGCGTCAGTCTTTCACACGGTTGTGAGTGCAGTTCGGATCACAGTGGTTACGGACAAGTTCAGCATCCTTCTTCCAAGCCACGTCACTTGGGCTTATAAATTGTCCATTATCTCTTTTCAAACTTCTCAGTTTTTGTAGGAACTTGGTGTTTTGGTCATTCTCATTTTTGTGTTTTATTTTGAAAAGAACTACCAAAATCATGCAACAACCACTTGATTAGTGTGTGAAACCAGTTGGTAGATTTTCCTCTTCTAGACTGATGGAGGTGGGGCACATTTAGACCGAGCCGTCCTGCTTGAGTCGCTGACTGCGAGCCTTATACACCTCGATGAGTAAATCTTTGACATATTGGATTTCTCGCTCCACTGACTCTGCCTTGTCACGCAGTTCGCGGTTCTGTCCTTCTAGTCCGTGAAGCTCCTCCTCCAGAGAGTCTAGCTCCGCCCTCTTTCGCAGCCTGTATCTGCAACAACAGCAATCACAGTTTACTTTTGCTGCCTTGCATTTTATTAATTAGTTGAATGAGTGTGTGACCTTTGAGATGACGACAGACGATGATCAGTATTCTCCTGACATGACAAAACTCAACTTTCTCAATGACTTCAACATTTTTAACCTTCTCTTTTACATGACCTCACTCTTTGTGACGCATTTCACATCTTTTACACATACGAACACAGGAAACAAAAACTGACAAGACTTATATAAATGCTAAGGTGGGGCAGATTTTGGCCGGCTTTGCGGGACTTTCCATGCACTTCTACATTCAACATTTAAACACAGATTGAGACTTCAGTTGAGTTCACTTTGTGAGGATGGCACAACATTTAAACACATTTTTGGCAGTACACGTTAGAAGAAATTACCTGTGAGCAGCGGTTTTGTTCTGGTCTCTCTTCTTTTGCTTTCTTTCCCCTCCACCAGACTCCATCCCAGAGCCACCAATGCCCAGGGAGGATTTCATGTGGCAAGGCTCGTCCTTTAGTCTCTGAGTAGGGCGATGGATTGGGGGACCTAGGAGTGGTCCTTCGCTCTCCACTCTGGACAGACATTCATAGCTTTGGTCTCCAAGGCATTCTGGGTAGAGGTAGTGGCCGTGTTGGGGCTCCACAGCCTGTGCTTGTGTGGGCGCGTCCAGGTCGCCTATAAAGCTATGATAAGGCTCAGTGCTGGCCATGGACTGCTGGAAGTAGCTGTCACTGGGCATCATTGTCTCTTGGGGGATACCTCCAGAAAGTCCTGCATCTTTGCTGCAGTGTAAGACTTCCAAGCCTGCGCTGTCATAACTTACATTAACCTTCAAATTATGCATCAACTGTCCCTCTCGTTTGTGGTGGCTGTCGTAAGAGCCACCAAAAAACCCTCGAGCGATTTCCTCACTGCAGAACATTCCCTCCGAGAAGCAGTAGCTCTCTTCCTCCTTCAAAGATAAAGCACATTCTCTCACCTTTTTTACGCTGCCGAAGCTGTTCTTACTGACCGTCTTGAGCGTGGAGTAGTGGTTGACGGACAACTCTGTGCTTCCTGAGTAACTTCCCCTTGACCCCCATGAGTCCAGTCCTACTTCGTCCACTTTCACAGTCTCACTGATGATCCGCCGCCCGTTATTGTGGTGGTAGCGGTGGTGGTAGTTGTATGGAGCAGGTCGAGCAATTTTGGTTCGGCTGATGGGACCACCACAAAAGCTGGCCAAGTCCAGTTCTCCAGTTGCCAGGGTAACAACTACGGGGCTGGGTTCTGATTGGCTTGTCCCATATGAGCCGTAAGGTAACTGATAGTAAGATTGGGAGCCCATGGCCGGAGCACCCTTGTCACATTTTGAGGATTTGTCCAACTTGCTGGTTGTGGCTGTGGACTCGGAGCGGAAGTAGTCCTCCAGCTGAGCCAGCTCTTCCTGCAGCAGTGAGGTCATGACCTCCAGGTCTGAGGGCACCTTGACATCGTGTTCTAATGGAGATGGAGGAAGGGATGAGCTCGGAGAAGACTCGGTTGTCGACACAAATGAAGACAAGTCAACTTTTTCCGTCATCCAATCTGAGTGACCATCACCTGAAAATGGAACAGAAAACAGTGCACAATCAGCAAAGAATACCCAATTTCTGACTAAATTAAATACAGAAAAAACCAAAGAATAGAAAAAATTAAAATCACTAAATGAGGTGGTAGAGTTTAAAACGGTAAACAAAAACCAAACAGCTCCAAATAATCCAAGTGAACAACTAACCGATCATCTGAAAATGATTGAACAGCATCGTCTGCATTCGATAAATATCCACTTAGCTGTACTCACTGTACGACATTAGCCCCGTGCTGCACTGCGGCTCCGACCTCGGGTTGTGGAAAAATAAAAAACGATCTCGCAAAAACTCACCAATTAAGTGCTGCCGCTTCACTGGCTCCGCCCCCACCCCGGCCCGTGATTGGCTAGGGCTAGCCTGTTGGAGCAGGGGAGCGCCGCGCTCGCCCGTGGAAATGGGAAGAATTTTGCGAAGGATCAATGCCGCCATTATGCCGTCTGCTTCGATCGAATTGTTCAAAAGCACAAATCGTGCACTGCGTCGACAAATGAGTTTCGGAAACACCTGAAGACCTGGAAAAAAGACAGATTTTTTAAATTAAATATTTAAAAAACATATTTTTTATTTTTAAAAATTTTACATTTGCTATTGGAAATATATTATTTTGTATGTTTTATGATTAAAAAAAGGATAAAATTAAATTGTTTAATTTTAAATAACAATTTTGAATTCAGTGGTATTTGTCATTATCCCAAAATTATTAAATGTTTATATAGTAACAAAAAACAATAGGAAATAAATAATAGGCTTCTTACTTACTTAGTACTAAGTAGTAAACTTAATTCAATAATTGGATGTATTAATAAACACCAACTGATACAGGTTTATTTTTAGAAACACTCATTCAGAAATGAGAAGGAAAGATTTGTAATCAATACACACAAAAATAAAAGATTAAAATAACAAAATATAGATTAAATAATCAATTAATCCAGGATTGTATGGGATAATACACAACAAACCATGCACAGTTCATGATTTTATGAACTTTTCTGCCGCTCCAAAACAAGCGCACTTACCCCATAGTTGTGAGAGAGTTGTCAAAGTGCGTTGCGAAGGCAAAGCACACGGATCCTTGAGTCGAGCTGTCGAGCAGACACAAATTAAAACGCCATCGTCCCTTTAGGAAGCCAGGGAGTCCTCAGCAAGTGTTATTTCGGCGAACACAGACTTGGAGGCACAAAGTTTTTAAATCCGCTACTTCTCCAACTCCTAATGCCGGGCCGGATCACCTCCAATGGGATTACTCCGCGGTTTACAGGGTTCAGCGGGTCCTTACGTCATGAACCCGGGGACTTTCCGTTTCCATAGACGCGTCTATAACTTTCTTTACCTATTTTTACAAATGTATATGCAGAAAACCCGTCTGTAAAACCCAGGAAACCTGTGCGCATGAAATAACATCACATCCAATAACCATGATATAAGGCAAAACGGTTCTATGATGGAGGATGTCTAAATAAACACCAGAATGAAAACTAAATTCACCCTAACTCAATTCAATTGAACAATGTTCGTATTACGACATTCTCGCGCTATAATGTTGTTTAAAGCTTGTATTTTGACTGAACTGAATGAGGAGCACTAATTTACGATCCTCCTCTGCGGAAGGATATTGTGTTGGCGTTGAAGGAGAGTAACTTTAGTTGCAGCCCTGTTGCATCAGATCCGCAGGGGATTCGCTGAGCGCTGTTACAATGTGGCCACATCATTGGTTTATGCGAGAACTTTTCTATTTCTATTGGCCTGCGATCAGTCTTTTACTGAGAGCTAATCATTACAGTAAGGAGCGACCTGGGACCGGCTCCTCTGCCGACGTATATGACACCTGCTGGAGAGAAACTAGAGCCACCTCCCACATGCATTATGGGAGAGCGAGTACTGTAAATAAGTGGCTATTTTGGAACGTCACCTGTTACACACGGACACCTGTTCCTGCTTTCGTTTCAGCAAATGCATTTGAATTAGTTGGGCCCTAATTTTAACCATGCATCCCATAGCATTGAATGTGTCCTATTGTCATGGTGAGTAGATGAACATGTTTCATATTGGGGGGAAAGCCCAATAAATGTTACTCAAGTAATATGTAGGCCTGTCTGTTCTTCTCAAAATACAGAATTGTGTCTTTAAAATATTACTATAAACAATAATAATAGACAATCCCAGTAGGTGTATCCACAAAACACACTATAATTAATAATACAAATAAACACACCAAGAAATGCGTACATGTAAAAGTGTGGAAGTCATTTTTTAGGGGTAATATATTCTTTTATATTAAAGACAAAAAAATATTGAAAAAGTTTTTACTCTGTAATCTTTAGAAACAACTTCTATAGTCATTACTTATTTTATTAAAGTAGTTTTTCTTTTTGTAAAACATATCATTAGGCAAGTGCCTAAGTGATCAATGTAAAACATTGTATGTTATTTTAAGTCTTTGATGAGTTGACACAAAACACACCTGAATTGCACTGAGCTGGTGCCGGGCTTTCATGCCAGGTGAACAGATGGCACTTCACATATGTCCCATCATGCATCTGTGCTGCCGGCCCGCATCTGCATTTTATTATTAATATTATTACCTCCACATGGGGTATTGTAATCACCTGAGTGTGTTTGTCTGTTTGTTAGCAACGTTGCTCAAAATATTATTGGCTTTTAAGTTATGGGCTTGAAAATAATACGAAAAGGATTATAAGATTCTTGGATGGAATCCTCTCAGTGTGTAAGTACTCTATGGAACTACTTTTGACGGAGATGTTTTAATAATAATAATACAACTGCAGTTGTTTTCAATAGTAATAAAAAGTTTAATACTTTAATTCCAGTTTGACACTATGGCCCACTGTTTTGGACTCACCAGAGCCCTGTCCATTATCACATTATCACCTCACTAAAACTTCACTATCAAGTGTAAACTGCTCTAAACTGCTCTGTGTCATACAAACTTGGTAGGTATCATGATGCTTCAGTAAATGTGGTGCAGGCATGTTTTTAATGTAACTGCACATTGTTTTTAAATAATTAAACTTTAACTAAACTTATACCTATTTTCAAATTCTGTATGGGAGAACCCTGGTGTTTTACAATAAGAGCCCAATAGTGTGTTTCTTCTATTAACTTCTTGTGTTATGCCTAAATGCCTGGATTAATAAAACTGAAGAAAAGGTTCTCCTGACTGGCCGGATGGCCTTGTTATCTAATGGAAGCCCTCTCATTCACTGCCTCGCTACCAATGTGTCATGTGTATATGTGAGTGTGTGACCCATTTGCAGTGAGGTAGTAAGTAGATTTTACCACACGCATACATAAACACATTCATAAACATGTCACTTCTTTGAGTTTTTAGAGTTTTACAGATTTTCATAGCCGTAAATTGTTACACTGGACCTGTGTGTGTGCGTTTGTCTTTGTTTGTTTGTTGAAATAAACAATAAGTTATACTATACATTTACTCTTTATTAAATGATAGCACAAAATAAAAAAATTCTGTCATTATTTAACCTTTACCCCCAAACCGTAAAACGACCACTTTACACAGTCTTTTTGATTGATTTCATGCATACTTGTGTGTTGTGTTGCAAAAAGCCATGGCCCCAATACAGAGCGACACACCTCACCTGGGAGCCCAAGGGAAATGTACAAAAAACAAGATTTGTGGGACTTCACTTGGAATACACATATAGGAATCTATATGTTAAGGAATTACTCTTTACAAATTAATTGTCAACTTATTGGACTGAGAAAACATTGTTCAACATGTAGTGTTTTGTGCATTCCTGTCCAGTTTTTGCATCATGCGTCCTAATCCGTGCATGCTGGCATTGTTTGTCCAGCTCTGTCCCGAGGCTCTTGTTTGGACTGACGGCTGACACCTGACAGGGGACGCGTGGAGGTCAGACGGGACGATTCTTATTTGTAAAACGTGAGCCGCTCCCTGTGCATCTGCAGGTGGGTCACAATGGGTTTCATATCCACAACATGAGCTATGGTAAAATTCATCTCAACTGTACTTTCAACAAAGTAACTCCTTTTGTCTGTTCGTAACTGAAGTGTTTTGATATTAGGACTACAAGAGTATTTCTTTCCATTATTCCATTTCAGATTCAGATAACATTATTGATTTCATTGGGCATTTAATTTGCAGCACTTTTCAGAGCCTTCCCACAGACTATACAAACAGTCCATTCCCAGAAATTACAATCAAAAGATTATTAGGATATGATACAAATTCAAAAAACACCCCCACCAGAGTTCAGTTTATCAGCATGAAAAACAGAGGTCACGTTATTCTAAAGGCCAAATCTCATACATAAGTACATACACACAGACTGACACTATCAAAACACAAAGCTCTTGCCCTGTGCACTTGTTTGTCCTCTTCCTTTCTCAGATAGATAATACTACTGCATTCAAACACAAAATTACTAAGTTACACAGACTTTGTTGGCGTGAACAGTATGTACAGTACAGAGCTCGAGAAGAAGAAAAGCAGTTTGCATTGTTGTTTTAAAGCAGTGTAGCAGAATACAACAACATACTCTTTTTCGATTGATCATTTCACAACAAGTTAGCCTGTGGGATTAGACGTTAGCCTTTAGTTCTGCCTCTGTGTGCACAGTGTCTCGTCCTCCATCATGATGTTGTTGTTGTTGTGGATGTGCCAACTGGTGAATCTCCGGTGTTTAGTTGTAAGAGTTGTGTACAGCTGTACTGAAGAACCAATCACTTCACAACTGTGTAAAACCATACACACACTTGGTAATAAAGTGACCTCCAGGCAGCAGCATTTCAAAAAGTAAATTCTTTTTTATTTTTTTCCTACAATATTAACCATTTTAAGATGAAGACATTTGGCCACATACTTTTTTCATACGGTTAATTTATTTCACAATATTTAATTTTTTTTTTTTATATTTATAATTGTTTATTAGTATGGAACAGTGTATCTACATTAGTACCTAACATCTATCTGGTATATCTAATGAACGTGTGCTTGTTGCTATAGTGACAGGCAACGCTCGTCTCTGTCCAAAAACATGTTTTCTCTGTTCACACTGCTTTGTTTTGCAGTTGGAGCACTTTTCTCATATGATCATGAGCAATAATATGGATCTTTACATGTTCAAAGAGCAGCTCAAAGTCAAATCCATTTCCAATCCTTGTTCATTCATAAATGTGTTACCACTAATTATTGCTTATGTTTCACTCCCTCCGATATATCGAACAATTTTATATTATTAAACAAATGCAATCTGTTATATTTTTTAATGCACCAGTGAGTATTCTATAAAACATAAATGAAACTGTAAGATAAAATAAAATAAAACACACATGATTATTTTAAAAATGGCAATAATTCAGTTAAAATACTTCAGTTACACTCAGTTATATGTGAAAATCCTTACACCTTCTAGACTTCAATATGATAATTTTAGATCACATTTTAGACACATTTACCAAATCCCTCAACTTCCTTCAACCAAATCCACAAAAAAGAAAAGAAATGCATCTTCAAATCCCTCATATTTATTCTAAAATCGTATGTACACATATATACCGTCAAGTCGGCAGTATTTCAGCGTGGTGTGCAATATCCTGAATAGATGAATTGGTTTAACCGCTTTACCACGGCCGTGCACAATGATTGCCCACTTTCTGTGCAGTGTTGCCCTCCATCTGTCCTGTTTGTACTGTATGCGCCAAACCAGGGCCCCTCTCCACGGCGGCGGCGCTCGCTGGGATGGGAAGAGCCTCCTTCAAAGACAGGGGCGGTGATGCTCTCCTCCAGCATGGCACATTGGTAACACTTACACCATAATTTCATCACCAGCAGCAGCACCCGCCGAATACTGCTTACATTAACTTTTTACAAGGGATTGGCTACACGCGTGCAGGCACTGGCGCACTAACGCATGGCACCAGATTTTTTAGCCTCCAATTTATTCAATAGGCGGCGTGAACATATTGTTATTTGTTGATGAAGTGTAAAAGCAAACAACAAGGCCGCAGAAAGAATGGAGTTTCCCCGGTAGATGGGGAGCGGGATTACGTGTTGAGAGAAAAGGGATTAAAAATACAAGAGGTCGGGGAGGCTTCAAAGTGTTTGAATGACGGCTGGCGTATTGTTTTGATAAGTGTTCCCCCAGGAGAACATGTGAAGAGGCATGTCACTATTCCCTCTCATCTTTGCCATAAAGAGGCACGGGGCTCAGAGGGGACCAGCCAAAATCAACTGTAATCGCAGCAATACTGTAACACACACACACACACACAATGCAAATGATTTAATTTAGTTTGTGCACGAACCTAAATTACCGTGTTAGACCCTGCGATGGGAGATGATAATTGCGGTGCGCCGGGAAGCACGGCAAATATAGAGAATTTAATCCAAACCCCAAGACGCGCTTTCATCACGCTGCGTTGTGGCTAAGGCCTTGTTACATTAGGAGACAATGTCAAATCTGTGTGTGTTTATATCATCAAAGTCAGACGAGAATAAGATGCTCGATATGCTCTTGTGTTTCTCTGTTCAAATTACAAAGGCATGAATAAAGATGAGTGAATTAACCCATTAGTCTGACCATGAACGCTGCTCACATGATGCAACTCAACTATGATCTACTCTGGCTTCAAACAAAACACAGGTTCATAATGACAGAAAAACAAAAGATCCAAATTATCGAGCTTCAAAACAAAATATGACATGTTCAGTGCAACCGCAGTGAAATAGTTGTGTAATTAGATTATTTTTTAAGAGTTGATTTCAATCTAAGCAGGTTTGGAAAGGTGTTGAAAAGGTGGAAAGGTGGTTCTGTTAGTTATTATATTCACAATTCATTTATATCTGAGTAATACATTCTGTGCATCTTCACAGAAAATACATTAAAGATAAATGTGAGATATTTTTTCAAGACTTTTGTTGAGTGTGCAAGGAACATTTTGTGAAATAATCAATAGAGATAAAGACACATACATGGGTCAAATGTAGAGGACAAATTCCCCACAGCTCAATACTTAAAAAAGCATAAATCTTCTCCTCACAGTTACCACTGCATGATTAAGATCCACCTGTCTATCTTAATGCACAACCGCGCAACAGCACAACCTTTATAATTTGTTAATGGCACTCTTATAAATTCTGTCTATAAATCTCTTTTTTATACATATATATATGTAGCTTCCTTAAAATATCTGTATGTGTTCTAACATTGTGAAGCTAACAGGGAGGGGTTTGCATTATTTTGCAATAACAGAAGATTACATGTCCCTGTATTGTTCATTTATTCAAGTAATAAAGTACAGTATTATGCCAAATAATAAAGATGGGAGAAGCTCATTGGAATGTATTCAGGTGGGGTTCTCGTTGCCCTTGGTTGTGGCCACGTTGAATAATGCGTCATTATGTCCAAAGTGCATCTGACAGCTGAGGACTATCACAGGAGACACGCGTAGTAAAATTGACTAAAATTACGTTTACTATTGGATCGCTGTCTATGTTTCTCCCATAATAAATATGAAAAAATAACCGTGAATC